GCAGCTATCCCACCGCTGCCACCATGTAATGTTTTTACCTCGGCGGCACCCGATGATGAAGTTGCTAGCTGTGTAGGTGACGGAGTGTAATGTTTTCTAATACGGCTTCCACCAGGTGACGAGTTCCGACCAGCAGAAGTGGTGCCACCTGATGAAGCTTGCGTTGCCGAAAATAAAGGATAAGGTTTAGCAAAAAGATAAGTCTTTTTGAATGCTTAAGAGACGACAAAGTTTACTGGATTCCTTATAGACACAGTTTGTACAGAAAATAAATATGAGAGGGTCCACGACCCAGATAACTCCTAACCGTCGACGAACAGACATTCGTTCAGCGACGTGATCAGTGTGTCTGATCTCGTCCAATCATTATCATCTGTACTTATACGAACAATCTGGGCGTTAGCATGGTCAAAAGTCTCGGCACATGACATCGGATTATTCTATAAGCTTCACAGCTTACACTTCCCATAATTTGTCGTGGTGTGGTACCACTTGTTCAATCATTGAATTGTATCCTGGCTCATATTGCCCTCTTGTTCTGGGGGTAATATATCTTTGCCTAGGTATCCATGGAATCCCATTTTTTGTCTATTAATTCGAGCTGTTTTGGAAGAACCTTTCTTTTGTTAAATGCAGATCTTAGCCGGCTTTAAGTTTTTGAGCCGCCCGCGGGGAACCACATGGAGGTGTCTGCCCGACCCTGTTTGTGCCAAGTCTAGTGTTTGATGTCTGATATTTTAAAAAGTAGTTTTGACAGGAAATCTCTGCTACTAGCCTAACAATAAATACAACAACGGCTATTGTAAGCCTCTTCCTTAATGTCATTGAAGATGCCTGCATCTTCTTTTAAAATGTTGTAAATGGCGTGTCGGAGTGTTTCTATCATGTAGGGGGCGCATCATCTCTACTTCTGAAGTTGTAATCCATGACTATATTATATATATCGATGGATGCTTGTAGAGCCATGGTTGATATTGTGGTAAGCCTTCCTTTGTCCCCTACATTTAGTTTCTTCAGGTTGAGAATTTTGTCGTTTGGTATAACACCTCTTGTACCAATTACTATTGGTAATAGTTCCCCTTTGTCCGCATTCAGTCTTTCTTGTAGATCTGGCAGTAGCTCTTGGTTTTTTCTTATCTTGCTCATCCTGGCCTGTCGGAGGTAGTCCCCATCTTCGTGGCGGACGGTAACGTCGACCACGAAGACCCCTTCTTGGATCTTTATTACCAGGTCGGGTTTGAGGATTTGTCCTTCAGCTGAGTGTAATGTTGGTTCGTTTGTGACTACTGCTTCTTTATCCTNCATGCAGCTAATCTCTCCCATTCAATGCATCCTTCTGTGCAGCCTTTGTATCTTTTCATTACTTCAGTGACGCTGTTTTGTCCAAGTCTGCAAGCTGCCATTGATACACTCATGATGTCTCTTGCCACCATGGCTGCCCATTCTTTCCTATTATTGACTTTATCCAGGAATTTGGCTTTTAGCTTCCCTCATCAGGTCTAATCCCATGTTGCCGATTCTTGAGCCCCACTGAGCTACTGTTTCATTGTTACCTTGTTTTGCGATGAAAAGTAAACTGGCACAGTACTCTATTGTTCTTTTAACTGCGTAATTTTCTTCTAAAATGGCTTTTACCTGCTCTCATGTATTACTCTCGGCTCGCGCTAACAATCTATCTTTAGCTTCTGTGATTTTTGATTCTATAAATTATAATAACAAGGGTATTTTGTTGGGTGCACAACCCTTTTTTCGGCTTCCACACCTTCGCAAAATTCACGTAGATACTTCGGATTGCCGTCAAAACTTTTGGGAATTAATTTGACCGCCTGAACCATCGAAATGTACTCATTTTCATCTTCTGCCATAATGGTTTGAACTAACCTTGGAATTTGAAGAAGGAAGAGTAGAATGAAAACCGAAGTTCGGATCGCTGAAACGATTTCCCTCGGGCTGTCACCCGCTCCTCTCGCGTCGGCTGCTGCTGTCGGCTGGCAACTCTGCTGTCCCTCGGGATTCAACAGGGGTCGCTGATGACAGCTTCCTTCTACGGACCTGGCGGCTGCGTCCTTCCGAGTACCCCTGGCCTTAAGGGTCCTCCGGGACGTTCACTCCTCGAAGGAGGCTTGAATCCACGGTTTCTTCAAGTCCTCCCGGCCCTTCCGTCGGCAACCTCGTTGAAATAATACTTTATGATATTGCAGCTATCCCACCGCTGCCACCATGTAATGTTTTTACCTCGGCGGCACCCGATGATGAAGTTGCTAGCTGTGTAGGTGACGGAGTGTAATGTTTTCTAATACGGCTTCCACCAGGTGACGAGTTCCGACCAGCAGAAGTGGTGCCACCTGATGAAGCTTGCGTTGCCGAAAATAAAGGATAAGGTTTAGCAAAAAGATAAGTCTTTTTGAATGCTTAAGAGACGACAAAGTTTACTGGATTCCTTATAGACACAGTTTGTACAGAAAATAAATATGAGAGGGTCCACGACCCAGATAACTCCTAACCGTCGACGAACAGACATTCGTTCAGCGACGTGATCAGTGTGTCTGATCTCGTCCAATCATTATCATCTGTACTTATACGAACAATCTGGGCGTTAGCATGGTCAAAAGTCTCGGCACATGACATCGGATTATTCTATAAGCTTCACAGCTTACACTTCCCATAATTTGTCGTGGTGTGGTACCACTTGTTCAATCATTGAATTGTATCCTGGCTCATATTGCCCTCTTGTTCTGGGGGTAATATATCTTTGCCTAGGTATCCATGGAATCCCATTTTTTGTCTATTAATTCGAGCTGTTTTGGAAGAACCTTTCTTTTGTTAAATGCAGATCTTAGCCGGCTTTAAGTTTTTGAGCCGCCCGCGGGGAACCACATGGAGGTGTCTGCCCGACCCTGTTTGTGCCAAGTCTAGTGTTTGATGTCTGATATTTTAAAAAGTAGTTTTTGACAGGAAATTTCGGCTACTAGCCTAACAATAAATACAACAACGGCTATTGTAAGCCTCTTCCTTAATGTCATTGAAGATGCCTGCATCTTCTTTTAAAATGTTGTAAATGGCGTGTCGGAGTGTTTCTATCATGTAGGGGGCGCATCATCTCTACTTCTGAAGTTGTAATCCATGACTATATTATATATATCGATGGATGCTTGTAGAGCCATGGTTGATATTGTGGTAAGCCTTCCTTTGTCCCCTACATTTAGTTTCTTCAGGTTGAGAATTTTGTCGTTTGGTATAACACCTCTTGTACCAATTACTATTGGTAATAGTTCCCCTTTGTCCGCATTCAGTCTTTCTTGTAGATCTGGCAGTAGCTCTTGGTTTTTTCTTATCTTGCTCATCCTGGCCTGTCGGAGGTAGTCCCCATCTTCGTGGCGGACGGTAACGTCGACCACGAAGACCCCTTCTTGGATCTTTATTACCAGGTCGGGTTTGAGGATTTGTCCTTCAGCTGAGTGTAATGTTGGTTCGTTTGTGACTACTGCTTCTTTATCCTTTGATTACTACTTCTAGGATGTAGTCTTTTATTTGGTCGTGCCTTTTTATTCTCTCTTTTTTTGTGTTTATGCATTGCCCTAAGATGTGGCCCAATGTTTCTTTTTGGGCGTGGCATTTTCTACAATTTATGTCGTCTTTTATTTTAGCTCTTATTAGGGCTGCTTTGTCTCCGGCGACATTTGTCCTCATCTTTAAGGCTGTTACGTATTTACTTGGTGTTAGTATTTCGGGCTTCATCAGCCAGTTGTTCCCCACTTTGTTTTCAGTGTATGCCGAGACTGCTTTTCCTTGAGATTTTAGGAGTGCCCATTCTTTTATTTCTTGCCTTTTTGCTTGGGCTTTGAATTTTTCTATTTGTCCGAGTGCTAATGGGCCATTGTAAGCGAGCAATTTTTGCTGCTTTCTGGAGTCTTTCATCCAGGTTTGATCCATGGTATATGGCCTGCATGACTGGATCTGGGTTCTTAAATTTTAGACCCATTTTCAGACTGGCACTTATCACGATTCTTTCTAGTTTTAGTATTCCTAATCCCCCGTTTTGTTTACCACAGTATAACAAGCCATTGGCTGTGCATTGCGGTAGGTGATATATGTTCTTTATCACTCTTCTAAGTTCTTGATCTATTTTTCGAATTGTCGTTATTGGAGTCATTTCTAATATTAGTTTATGTAGGTAGTGGGGGATTATGTATGTTGTGATTAATTGTGCTTTTTGATGTGGTTTTAACGATAGACGTTCTACTCTTTTTAGTGTTTCTAAGAGTTCAGTCTCTAGCTTGTCTTTTGTTAGACCTTTCCAGGGCGAGAAGGTGCCACCTAGGTATTGTGTGGTGGCGTCTGCCCTTAGTGGTGGTATTACTTCGCCACTTTTTGATATGAGATTGGGGTTTTCTATATGCCAAGAGTCTTTGTTGGTTTTTATGCAGAATGCAGTGCATTTTTGGGCTGATATATTCATTCCTAGGTTGTCGAGGTATTCCTCTGTCGTCCGGAGTAGTTTTCTTGCGTCTGATGTTTCTGTCATCGGGATGACACGAGGCATATGCTCATGATAGTGGAAGTTCGTTTATATGCCCCAGATTAGGACCAAAGTACAGACACGTGGAGTAACAGTCATAAGCAGCAAGTGTTATGTTTGGACTTTCAAGTGCCTTAGCCTTAAAAGGTCGTAAGGTTATTGATTTCCTGTTTCCCAATTGAGAGAAACAGCTCCTCTTACAAAATCTTACTGAAAGAGAATAAATTATATATAAAATACGTTATTACTTTAGGTTTCAGAATGTTTACCTATACATTTGGCATCACTTTCTTTACAGGTTAACCTTGTTGTTCTTGTTATTACTTCCTAGTTGTCTTTCAATCTTGTTTCACCTTATTAATAAATTTACATTAATGACATAATTAGTTTCATCTCATTATATGTGTTAACAGTAGGTAGAGATTTGTAATTTACATATTACATCTCCCTTCCTCTAAAAAGTTTTTGCCTATTTGGTGAAAACTTTTCCTTTTTACTCTTTTGACGGAACATTTTTCTGCTCCTTGTTCTCGTTGATATAGGTTCTGATTCTTCCATATCTGAACTTTCAGCACGGATTTTCCTAGGTTGCTCAGTTACGGCGTCTCCTATCCCGGGTAATGATTTCAAGGATATGGCGGGAGAGGTATTTGTCTTTGTATACTCTACTTTAGAACCATTGTAATTGTAAGTACTGACACAGCATTTATCTTGAGCTTGTTGCGAACAATCCCTCAGGGTCCACTTTTCCCAAATCCAAAAGAAGCCATTTGTGCAGCATTTACAACAACAACTGCAACAAATGCATATAACAATTATACCAATTATTGTTGCTCCCCAGGATGTTGCAACTGTGTAAAACCTTTGGTTCTGCTTAATTTCTTGATCTTTTATCATTTGTTGTACCTCCTCTGTTTGCCTACCTGTGACTCTTCAAGTCGTCGATTGAAGACATAATATTTATTAATGGTGTATGCTAAGGTAAGTCTTCAAAGTTTACATCTTTCAAATCTTCGAAGCAACAATTAAAATTTACAGGAACATAAGGTACATAATCATTTGTTAAGTTTGTTACCATGGTTGACATTGCATATAAAGTTACATAAGATGAGTATTCTTTACACTCAGGTTTCAAAGTTAATTTACCTTTGTTTTGTATTTTTACCGTCGTTGTTTCATGAGGACATAAGATGGTAAAGGTTTCTACATTTGGATTCATGAACAGCCATTGGTTGCTTAAATGTAGAGGTATCCACAGAGTTTTACTGTTTGAAAAATCTGTATTCACAACTGTCTGGGATCCTCGTTGTTGATGGGTGTAGCAATGTTGCTTCACAGTCCACCTCTGTAATGTACGTGTAAATAGGAATCTCTTCCGTACATACATAAGTGATTTCATTTGGTTGAAAACAACCTGACAACCCATTAGTTGTCATTTTTCCAAAATGTTGCCTCAAGGCATAACTGAACATATACTCTTTATTAAAATTTATGTAACTATAGGTAGATTCTTGTTGTTTCACCATGACAGGGATTGGTCTTTTACACTTTTACAATTGATACATGGTTGGTGAAAATAAAGGAATTTCCAATACATAAACCAAATATTGTTTATATGAATAGGTTTTAGGAGTTATTATCTTCTGTAATTCTGGGAAAGGGAAGTTAGGGTAGTCCAGTCCGCTTGGCAGTTTTTGGCTTCCCAAAAAGTTCTTTATCTTTTCTGCGGTTATCAGCTGTGGTTGCATAGTTCCTTGTTCTGCATGAACAAAGGCATCATTTAATATCTCAAATGAGTGTTGACTTTCATCAACCCCTCTCTGTATCAGACGAAATTGCTCATTGATTAAATTTACGTTTTCAATTTCTTCCTCTAGTTCATTTATTTTATGTTTACTGAAGTTAAGTAGTTTGTCTAAACCTTGAGCCGTATGTCCCTTGACCATGCGGGTCGGGAACCCAGTTCCCCTACCCAGTTAACCCATGGACTCGTGTTCACTGTGGGCAAGGGACAGGCTCATAAGACGACTTGCTTGCACGTGGTGCACTATGCCTCCCCAAGGTCGAGCAGGGGATCTCGGGAGAGGAAAACCACAGTCGGCACAATGGGCCAAGCTGGACGGATCTGCTAGCCTGAACTAGCAGGGAGACTACACAACCCAAATATACACAAATACAGCAGGCATTTCTAACATATAAATAAATGTGTATATTGATAACAAGGGATACAGGTGACTCTGCCTGAGGGGCAGTAGCTGGTCAAAACACACTCACAATTAATACAGAATTACTCTGTGGCTAAGCGCACAGACACAAATATGAGCACGCCTCATGGCATCCATTTGACTTTACAGGTGACCCTGCCTGATGGGCAGTAGCTGGCCAAAACACACTCACAATTAATACAGAATTACTCTGTGCTAAGCGCACAGACACAAATATAAGCACGCCTCATGGCAACCATTTGACTTTACTGGGAATACAACTATATATTCATACTCACGCGCCTGAAAGGCGACCGGCTATTCAAGCCAACAAACAAAACTATTCAATGTACCAAGCTTAACCTCGCGACTCGATACAACCTTCATCAGGTCGCGAGGGCACTCTTCCCCCTTCAGAATGCGCCCGGGGCCGAAACGGAATTTCACAACTCAATCAACCTAAACAGCAAATTTAGAGCTGGCGATGTTACCTGTCTGAAGGTATCGGGGAAAAGAGATCGAGGCATTCCTCATCACCACACAAGAAACCTCGGATCAGTCCAGGAAGGGAGGGGGAGTAGGTCAGCTGACCTGACGTCAGCTAAGACTATGAATGGAAAGAGGGAAAACGGCTCGCATCCCGGCGTTTGGGGGGGGGGGACTCCAAAGAACTTCGCAGAGAAGAACCGTTGCACGGTTCAACCTTCCTTCAAAACCTTTTCATTCTGATTCACCTTTTGCAGTGTTGAATTTACTGAGGTGATGGTGGTTTTTATAATTGTCATTTGTTCATTTGACAAGTGTAAAAACTCTTTTTGTTCTTTCTCTAATTCCGTCATGTGTTTGTTGTAATTTTTTGCATCTGATTGCGTTAATGTTCCCAATAGGATTTTTGAAACTTCACCCACGAAATTGAAGACACCTCGTTTTGGTCTCTTCTATTTCTGAGTGTTGTCTACCCAATATTCCGCCACCAGATCTTTTAAGTTGTCTCTGTACCTGCCTTTTGACCTCATATATTGTCCGAAAGCTGCGCAATCAGTATAATGATACAATTTTTTGTCTTTCATTTTCCGGAAAAAATCCGTAACTTTCCTTTGATGAATTTTTGTTTGTCTATATTTCACGGGTTCGTTCCAAATTTATATGTGACTCCTTTCCATTTCACAGGATAGAGATAGAATTTTGATTGAATTGTATGTGGGGAAAGTGGAGATGATGGAGTGCATTGAAGATGATATACGATATGTATCTTGGGTGTGATGAAGGATGAAAGCATAGATGTCATGTTTTGTGATGTTGGATGTGGTATTGTGAATGACGTGGAAAGTGGAGATTGAATTGTGGCAGAAGTTTCAAACTGATAGATGCATTGTTGGAGTGGTGGAATTTCTTCTGATGGAACCCAATTCCATAAGTAATGATTTGTGGAAATGAATATAGGGGGTCTGTTAATAAGTTCCTTGTCGGTATGTTTCATATCGGTTGGTACAGGTGAACCTTCGAGAAGAAGTTTCCAAGTGCCAATGGTTGTTTGGTCGATGATGGGCTCTTCATATATGACTGATGTGCTGTTTGGTAATTGGTCGAGATGAAGTTGGATTTGTCTTTTGAGCCCCCACCACTAGTTGGGGGGACGGGTTGTTCTTATGTCGTATTACTCAGGGGGGAAAAAAAGAGAAATAAACAAGAAAATCAATTAACATTTAATATATGACCAGTAATTTGTGAAAAAAAAAAAAGAAAACAGAACAATTAATCGGCATAACCAGCCATAAGGTACCCTATCACAACTCGCACAGGCTGTCTCCGCCACAAGCGACATATAAGGCATACTTAATAACAAACATCACGCTAGCATAATACCATCTCTGCACACACAATACACACAAAAGCTATATATACATTCTCAGCTTACACAGTTTCTCCAAAAACAAGAATCAGTACGCTAGCGTTACGTACATTACCTCGAGATGGGCTCTCCTGCCTGGAGTTTAGCTACCAAACCGAATCTTTCATGGCGCCGACCCAAACAGAATTTAGTTACGGAGCGAGACGTCCATACACGATGACTTTCCAGGCAGAAGAGACCGCGTGCTTCAGCCGAATCAGCAAGGATAGGGGAGCGATGACGTAGAATGCGCCACGGACTAAGGATAGGTAGTAGGAAAGGTAGGAAAAACGGTGTGACCCGTGGCCGCGGCCGCCGCTCGGAGAGGACACCACAAGCAATGAGCCGAAGGGATCGGCTCACTTTTTCTCTAGATATTCTGGTGGGGCGTGTATCTATGAGGAGTAGAGAAAGAAGAAGTGTTTTTCCGGTGCTTGTTGGTCCTTTGATGATGAAAGCGTTGATTTTGGGTAGTGCCGTGGAGTGTATTATGATGAATTGAGAGAAGTCTTTGGGTTGACTATTGTTTTCTTCGAAAAATGTTGTGAACCAAGATATGTTATTGGAATTTGTTTTGGTGAGGTCGTAATTGCCTCTTAATATTTGAAAGAAATGTTTGGATTTGATGTTTTGTTGGGATTGTGTGTTGAATATTTTGATTAGAGATTTAATGATGTTTTGTCCTATGTATCCCATCTGTTTCAAAAGTTGAATCTTTGTATCTGTGGGTACTTTGCGTTGGAAGTCTTCGACAGAAGAGATTGAATGTGTCTCAATGAGAAGCAATGAAATCGACGGAAAAGGTTCTTTGAGTTATTGTTTCTTTTGCGATGGCCTTTTTTTTTCTTCTATGTAAAGAGAGCAAATCTCGAAAGTCGAGTCCGTGGAGTCATTGGAAGCAATGTAATTTGTTAATTTGAGGAAGTCGATAGATCGAGTTCCATTCTTGCATAATTCGGAGAGACCTTTACGGATGAGATATGCCAAGAAGCGGGAGGGGAAGCGCACTTGTTGTGTAGTCGCATGAACTTCTGCAACTCCTGGATAGGTTGATTTAAGAAATTGTAGGATTTTGTTGATCGCTCTGTTAACAGCTATTTGTGTGGGAGACGGTGAAGACATAGTGGACGTGGTCTCCATGATCAAAGCTGGCAAATGTGGGGGCTCTCTTGAAGTTGGTGGGGGGTGTGTTTGAGAAGTTTGTCTTATGGATGATGTCGCAGTTGGACGAATAGGTGTGAGAAGGTGTGTTAACTGAGTTTCTTTGAGTGGAGGTAGAGGGACTGGAGATGTTAGTGTCGATCTTTGTTGTTTTGTTTCTAGTAGGCTCGTCAGTAATGTCGTGTTGTGTGGAGTCGCCATTTCCTCTTATTCGTTTTCTGCTGTTCTTGATAGATTAATGTTTTTGGAGTTGCTTGAAGTATGTGTATCGCCGTTAGTAGGAGTTCTTGTCTTGTTTTCTTGCTGGATTTGTTGGTCAGTGAAATGTATAGACAGTTTTTGTTTAGTAGATGATGAAGTAGTTGGAAGTGAGAGGTTATGTTCAGAAGTGTTTCCGGGGCTGATGATGGGTGGTGATGGTGATGGAGATAGAGGTTGAGATCTTCTATCTGCTCGTTGGAGATTTGTGTTTTGGTTTGGCAGATGAGAATGTATCGGCGAGGTGGAAGAGTGATTGTTTTGTTCTGGGGTGTCGTGAATGATGTCCATTGTGTTTTGGGTCTGATGTTTGGTTGGACCAAAGAAGTTGATTTGCCATTGTTACTTACCCTAGGAGAGCCGTAATCTTCGTAAGTATCATGATGATCTCCTTGTCGGAGTGCTTCATGTCGGTGGGTATTGGAGAACCCTCGAGGAGAAGCTTCCAGGTGCCGATGGTAGTTTGATCTATTATTGGCTCTTCGAATAAGACGGCTGTGCTATTTGGGAGTTGGTCAAGGTGGAAGTTTGATTTGTCTCTTTCCCTCGCGATTCTGGTTGGTTTTGTATCGGATAGGAGGAGGTTAAGGATGAGAGATTTACCTGTGTTGGTGGGACCTTGGACGACAAACGTATTAATTTTTGTGATGTTTGTTGAATGGATGATTAGGAATTTGGCAAAAAATTCTTCAACTGGGATTGCATTAGATGAAAATAGTCTTGTTAACCAAGTAACATTGGATGGTTGTACCAAGGAAAGGTCGAGTGAGTCGATGATCAATTGATAGTAGTGTTTTGTTTTAATGGTTTGAAGGGCCTCGATTGTGTGAATCTTGATTAGGGTCTTTATGATATTTTGGCCTACATAGCCAAGTTGTTTTAGGAGCTGGATCTTGGTCTCTGTGGGGAGTGTTCTTTGGAAGGATTCGTATGAGGTTATTTTGTTTTCTGTGATGAGGGAACTGATGTAATCGATGGAGAATGTGCATTGTGTTATGGCCTCTTTGGATGCTTGTTTTTTTTGCTCGACGTATTGTTCGCATGCAAGATGGGATGTTGTAGGTTGGTCTGTTACGTCATAGTGAAGTAGGGCATCTGTAAGTGGTTTTAGGATGGGGATAATTCTATTTCCATATTTATAGAAGCTTCCGAGGCCCTTGCGTATAAGATATGAAATGAATCGGGTGATGTAGCGGATGAGTTGTAGGCTCGAATGAGCCTCTGTAATTCCTTCAATGTTGACTTTAAGGAATTTAAGGATGGTTGAGAGGTGGCGGGAGGAGTTGTTGCTGTGATTGACTGTGAAGATGATGTGGATGTGGTCGCCGTGGTCGAATGCTGCAAAGGATGGTGATCTTCGGGAGGTGGGGGGGAGCGCGTCGAAGGTCCTGCGGTGGAGGATGAAGGTGTAGGATGATGATGGATTTGTGGAATCGCCTCCGTCGGGATAGTCTGATCCAGAGAGTGTGGAAGTATAGCTTGTCGGTGGTGTTGGAAAAGTAGACGAAGATGTAGGTCTTGGAGGGCTGAGGCTGGAATTTGCTGGTCCTTTTTGAGATGATCTTTTTGTTCTTTTGATAGGAGGAGGGCTGACACTACGTCGTCTGTGTGTTCTGTCGCGTATGCTATCGGCTGTTGGCGATCGTTTTCTTCCTGTATCATCGTAGTTCTGGGATTGATTTCTAGCACATCTATCGCCCTCGTGAATAATTTTTGGCGAAGGGTTCTCGACGATGTGTTCGTCAGTGAGAGGATGTACGAGAATTCCTGTTCGTTGTTGTTTATCACTTCCAAGAGTTGGAGATGAGATGTCAATGTGGATAGGGGTTCTGGTGCTGTTATCAGTTGGTGATTGTCGTTGACATAGTCGCTGAAGAAGGAAAGGGCTGTCGGTGTTATCTGTGTTTGGCTTGTCGCAAATAGCAGGTATCGTCGGGGGGGAGGGCTGATTGTCTTGCCTGTTGGTGTTGTGAAAGATGGCCATGATGTCTTGGCTGTTGTTTGGTTTGTCCATGTTAGAGACATTAGGAAATGTAATTACGCTTACCCGAATAGGGCCAGGTGGATGCTGATTTTGAAGTTCTGTTAGAAGATTTTGTTGTAATTCTTCTTCCTCTTCCCACTCTTCTTTGACGTTGAATAGGACGCCGTCGAGGAGTTGGTTGTGGACGTACTTGGCGCAGAGGTCGCTTACTGGGCACTGTGCTGATTGTTGCCAGCACTCGAAGCAGTTGCAGCACTGAGCAGGTTTTTCCAACACTGAAAGCACATGCAGAGAGTTCTGTAATGCTTGCAGATTCCGTGCATAGTGAGTGCGATATGGATGTTGATGGTGGGTATACAGGGTGTCCCAGGAGGAATGGACCAAACTTCGGGTGTTCCTTATGTTAAAGTATGCCGATATAATGCAAAACACCTATGTCCAAACTGGAACGGTTACGGAGATAATGGCCAGAGAAGTGTCAAACTTTGACCGGTGTTACACACTTGTTGATTACAAAATACATATTAAAACTGGCAGGAATATGTGGATTCTGTAATGTTAATAATGTATGTAACATCAAACTAACTTGTGAGTGACATGAAGCCATAAAATTGAAGTACAAAATACTCGCTCGCCATGTCATAATTGTCCTTAGGGTTTCCAAGCACTATACATGACACATGAATGGCAAGCGCTGACGTAACGTGGCTGACTGCGCGTTCTGATAAAGCCAACTACATACGTACGGCTAGGGTGAATCACGGCACTCAAGGACAAACAGAGATAAGGCCTCTCAGCTGACAGGCACGGTGCGTGGACCTGCCAGAAGACCACACTTTTCTTGGGCCATTATCTCCGTAACCGTTCAACTTTGGACATAGGTGTTTTGGGTTATATCGGCATACTTTAACATAAGGAACCCCCCCCGAAGTTTGGTCCATTCCTCCTGGGACACCCTGTATTTGCAAAACAAGTTGGTGATGTAATGAGTTTTATCATGAAATGGGTTCATATAGGTCTGCCATCATGTATCGCCATCCCATCGATAAGCGGAGAATAGCTGGTTCAGCAGAATTAATGCACGAGCCTTCCGGCACGCGCGAGATGTTGGTCTGTCGCCGAGCTCGGCCCAAGCCTTGCCGCTAAACAGTTTATACTATAAATGGCATTTACTAAATGCATTCAGCGGCCTGTCTCTGACTGTACTTCCTCGATGTTTTGAGCTTGTAGCTTCCACCGTGTAACTAGTGTGATTATTAGCGCCCACTTAAGTGTCTGCATTATCTGAAATTGAATGAAAAAAGTAAGGTTTCAACCTGTTAATATGTACTTCTTGATGCCTCCGTTTACCTGGTTCTTGAATAACAGCATTAGAACCTTGAATTTTCTTTTATTTGGTATGGCCCTTTCCATAACGGGTCCAGTTTTTGTCTGTTCTCTGTTCTCAACAAGGCTAAATCATTTTCCTTAAACTCATAACTATTGGTTTCACTTTTGTCCTTGCGATTCTTTAAACTGTATTAATCTCTTTTATGATAATTGCTGACAAGTCTGCATTTTGTGTTTGATCTCTAATACTATACAAAGTTATAAATAGGTTGGGGTTGTCGTAATTTTCCTGGGATGTTTGCAACTCTCCCAAACAGTACTTCATAAGGGGTGTACTTCGTAATTGAATGAGGTGTCGTGTTGTACGTGAAACAAGCAAAAGGTAACCATTCGTCCCAGATATTTAGTTTTGTATCCCAGAAGCAACGTAAATTATTGGGAAGCGTTTTATGTGTTCTTTCTAAGGCTCCATTGCTCTCTGGGTGATACGCTGTTGTGCAAATTTTCTCAATTTGGAATAACTTACAAATTCGTTTAAAGACGTCACTCATGAAATTAGATCCCTGATCTGTCACAATTTCTGTGGGGATTCCATAATTTAGTATAATATTCTTAACAGAAGCGTTAGTGACTTCATCTCGCATTTGATTTTGCAAAGGTATAGCTATAAAATATTTGCTATGATTATCTTGACACTTCAGAATGTATTTCATGCCAGTTTCCTCATAGGTATAGGTCATACTGCTGCGTGGCTGTCAAACAGATTTTGGGGTAGCAGAAAACGATGCTGCTAAAATTATGACTTCCCCTGTAAAGTTTAGAATTTTTAAAGAACTCGGCCTTGTGTTACACATTAACTTGACTGATTTATGGATGGGCAGCTGGCTTCCAGCTTGACCCAAGACACATGCTGCAAGTCCCAGGGGGGAAATCTCAAATTGTGAGAAGAAAGTGAGGAATTTCACAGAACCCTAACCACACACAAGCATCAGTTGACCATCACATAACTGGACAGTTACAACTTCAACGAAATGTGGGAGGGGGTCTGGCAGGCCATCAGNCTGTAATTTTTCTCTTGAAATTTCCGGGAAGTGGTAACAGTCGGTCCAATTTTGAATTGCTATATCTTGGCATAACTTGTTTATGTGCTTAAGGTACTGCGCAATCTCGTTTGACTGGCTGTCTATCCCTTTCAGGTTAGTATATACTACTACTTGCCATTCAGTGTTATATAAATTCAGCTGGCCCTTATTCTCATAGTATATTCCTGTTGATTGATCATAACTTTCCACTAGATAACCTGTTGTTCTAAGATGGGTTGTAATCCATGAATTGTTCCCATCCATAGGAGTATGATCGCCCTGTGCATCATTTTCTGAAACCAATTTAAATTGCATTTTATTTCCTTCCCCTTTTATTATGCATCCTTTTAATAAAAAGGTTTTACTCTATTTACATGTACTTTCTGTACTTTGCGCCCCCTCTTTATCGTAATGTTTACTTTGTCTATTCCTAATACTTCATATGGACCAATCCACTGGCTGCTCAGTTTCCGGGATCTTCCTCGCCTTACGGTTTCATCAAATAAAAGTACTTTATCTCCTATGTTTACTTGAACCTTTTCCGCCGTCTGATCATAATACCGTTTACTTTTCTGTTTGGCCTCTAATAATTTCTTTTTAGCCACCTCGTGCACTGTCTGTAGCCTGCTCCTTAACTCTAGCACATAGTCGTCATAATTGTTTTGCGGGCTGGGTGGTTCATGCAAGGTCGAGGGCAAGGTCGACCTAAAACCGTACACCAACTCGAATGGTGTATACCCCGTGGCAGTATGTACGGTAGTATTGTACACGCACATAGTGTATGGTACCCATTCATCCCAATTTCTTTGGTCTTCATTTATGTAGTGTCGCAAGTACTCTTCTAGAACCCTGTGACTGCGTTCTAGGTTTCCGTTCGATTCCGGCCTAAACGCGGTAGTTTGGAGTTTCTTAATTCTTAGCAATTTACACACATTTTTTAAGACGTCACTCAGGAAGTTAGCTACCTGATCGGTTAGTATCTGTTTTGGCGTACCCATCTTTAATATGACATTCACCACAAATTCCCTCGCTATTGTCTCTGCATCCTGTCTTGGGATTGGGATTGCGGTTACTAGTTTGCTAAGGTCATCTTGAGATGTGAGGATGTACTTATTCCCTTTTTCTGTTTCCGGCAGGGATCCTACAATGTCTAAACAGCACTTATCAAACGGATGATCGGCAGTGGTTGTGATTTCCATTGATGCTTTATTCTTGGGACCTAGCAGTTTATTAATCTGGCAGCTCTTACACTTCTTTATATAGTCCTCAATTTCTTATCTCATGTTAGGCCAATGAAATTTAGCTTTTATCGCCTTGTATGTTTTATTCATTCCCCTATGACCTCCAATTGGTGCGTCATGATACTCGAAAAGTATTTGTTTCTTTTGATCTTCCCCTGTGATCTCTACGGGGTTCTGAGTTTCTACTCTGCTCCACGTGTTAATTCTGCTTAAGGCGTCCGCATTCGTATTTAACGATCCCTTCTTATACAGGATTTCATAATCGTGTTCTTCTAACTTAATCCTCCATTTGAGTAATCTGGATCCGGGATCCTTGATGTTCATAATCCACTTTAGTGGTTTATGATCACTGGCGTTCTTGAATTTTCGCCCATACAAATAAGGTCTAAGGTGTTTTATTCCCCATACTATAGCTAGTAACTCCTTTTCGCTTGTGCTGTAGTTCTTTTCAGCTTTGTTTAAATTTCTACTAGTATAAGGCAGGTCTTTGCCAATCTCTCCTTGGGATAGTATTGCACCTAGGCCTTGATTGCTTGCATCTGTCGTGAGGATAAACTCTTTGGAAAAATCAGGGTATTGCAAGATGGTTTGCATTGTTAATTTTGCTTTTAAACTCATGAAGGCATTCTCTTGTTCTGCCTTCCACTCAAATTTTGCGTCTTTCTTAAATAAAGCATGCAACGGTGCTGCTATCTTGCTAAACCTAGGAATGAACCTCCGGTAATAACCTATCATTCCCAAGAAACTCTGTAATTGTCTTTCAGTCTCTGGCCTGGGGAAGTTTTCAATTACGTCTACCTTGCCTGGATCAGGTTTACACCCCTCTTCAGTAATTACGTGTCCTAAGTAATTAACCTCTTTTCTTAAAAATTCACACTTATCCGGTTGGAGCTTTATATGGTATTTCCGAAGTCATGAAAATACCTCTCGTAACTTTATGTCATGCTCTACCAATGACCTAGCGTAGATTACTACGTCGTCAATGAATACAAAGCATCGTGACCCAGTTAGGCCACTCAACACGGAATTCATCATTGACTGGAAAGTAGTGGGTGCTGTCTTTAGCCCGAACGGCATTCTTTTATAGGCCCAATGCCCCTGTTTAGTGCTGAAAGCCGTTTTGTCCCTGTCCTCCGGACTCAACTCTATCTGATGGTAACCCATCACCATGTCAATGCATGAAAAGTATTTGGACTGGCCCAGCTGGTCCAAAATTTCCGTTATGTCAGGGAGAGGGTAGGCGTTTCCAATTGTCTTTTCATTTAGTCTCCGGAAACCCACAACTATTCGCCATTTTCTCTCTCTGCTGGCATCTACCTTTTTTGGTACTACCAATAATGGGCTATTCCAAGGTGAGCTACTCTCTTCTATGATTCCTTCGTCCAATAATTTCTCAACTTGTTTTTCGATCTCTGCCTTTTGTGCTTCGGGAAGTCTATATGGTCTAGTGTTTATGGGGACCGTTGTGGCTACTACTGTTATTGAATGCCTTGTTGCGTTTGTGGCGGTTAATTTTTCCCCGGGCAGATGAAAAATATCCTGCAGTTCTAGGCAGGTATTCTCTAATACCTCCTTCTCCTCGTTATTTAAGTTTTCCCAGTACTTCCCTTCCTCTATTCCAGTTTTCCTGATCTATGCCCTCCTTGTCTGGGGTCATGATTTCGATCTTCGTCAACCTCAGTCGTGGTTCTGGTATTTCAACTTCTCGGTCATTCGTATTTAGTATACTGGTTAGTGCATACCCATTCTTAACTGTAATCAGGGAACTGGCTACATAAATCCCTGTGTCTAACTCTTGTCTCTCAATCAGGCCTTCCTTCTGGCCGTTTTCACATTCTATTGGCACCTGTACTATCATTTCCGACCTTTTTGTAAGGGTGATCGTTCTTACTTTCTTATTTGTATTCTCTGTTTCCCTGTGGTATATTAGTGGTCTTTCTAATCTGCTATTTTGCCACTTAAAACTAACCCTTTTTTGTTCATAGCATATTTGGGCTCTTGTTCTTTGGAGGAAATCCTTCCCTAATATTCCATCTCCTTCTACATCTAGTTGCTTATTTACCAACTGAAAGCTTATTGGGATCCTCATTCTCCCTTCTTTTACATTGGCTTCTATCAGCCCATGTGTTTCTACTATCGCCCCTTCTACTGATTTGAGTTTTACCTTTTTCTGGTGGTCGTATCTGGTGCTTCCTATCAATTTCTGGCTCTTCACTACTGATACCTCTGCCCCAGTATCTAGCAAGGATAGTAACCCCTTTTCCTTGCTGATATCCAGCTTCAACTCAACAAAATCACCTTTAGTAGTGTTAACACAGCCTAATGCACGTTGCTGACTGTTGGTTGGCTGCCTGCCGACAGTCCGTTCGCATTTCCCGAATGTTCCTGACCTGTACTTCTGCTACTAACTTTTTGTCTCGTCATACGACAATTCCTTGCATAATGGCCTTTCCTATTACAATTGTAGCATATTACCTCAAAACGCCTATTCGTTCTTTCTACTCCGACCTGATTCACCCTAGTCTGGGTAGTGTGAGTGGACCCTACTTTCGTGGTTTTCTTCAGGGAACATGTCTGGGTAGTATGTCCTACTTTTCCACAGTTGCCACATCTTACTTGGGCTTCTATCTCTCCCTTATAGCGCTCTTGCTTGGACACAATCGCACTTTCTTCCTCAAGGGCTGTCTCCGCGATATCATCGAAACTTTCGGCTCCTTACAATCGTCTGTATCCTGTCTGAGCACAAACCTTGAATAAAACAAATGTTCCTCAATTTGTCGGCTAACGTTAAAATACCTGCCCGTTCCTCTTCCGTCCAGTCTTGGAGTGCTGATTCTCGAAATTTTGAACCTAACGTTTGAATCTTTTGAATCCATTCGGATATGTTTTCAGATTTGTGCTGTCTAGCCCAGAATAGTTGGTTAGCGTGAAAGTCTAACGTTCTCTTTTCGATATATGTACGTATTCTTGAGGAACTCTTTCAGCTCGTCCCAACTCTCCAAATTTCTATGTGCAATAGCCGTTCTGGGTTCACCGCTAATTTTGGTAAGAATGAACTGGCACAACCTATTTTTGTCCTCTGGGCGTACACAATTAAACGCCGTGTCTACATTGGACACAAATGTTAAAATTTCTTTCTTGTTGCCATTAAAGAGTGAAACTAACTTAAGAGCTCCTATCACACTGATATATTCCGTGGTCATCATGTCTGACCTCCCTGCGTCTGCCTCTGACATTGGGACAGTATGATTGAGCAAGGACTCACCACCTTTGTCTTCTTTCTTCCTTCTTGAGTGCTGCTGCGCTCCTCTCACCTGCGGGATTGCCCTGGCCGCTGGCTGATGTAGGTGAGTTTCTGCAACCTGCGTTGATGTCTCGCCGTAGTTGCCTTCTCTGCTGTTTTCTCCTTCACTGAAAACTTTTAAGTCTAATTAACTTACTACCCTTGCAAATTAAAGTTCTCTTTTGTCACCTATCGGTGACCTGTTATCAGACGAATTTACTTCTGTCGTCGACTATCTGCTACCAGTAGTTGCTTACCGCGATCTTTCTCAATAGCTTTCACAAACAAATAGCATCTGTTTCTTTCTTTTGTCACCTATCAGTGACCTGTTGTCTGACAAATTTATTTCTGTCGTTGACTATCTGCTACCAGCAGTTGCTTACCGCGATCTTTCTCAGTCGCTTTCACCAACAAATAAAATCTGTTCTACTTTACCAAATTTCCTTGGCTGTTACCTCCTGGGAGAACTGTCTCGCTTGGAGACCGACCTGATCTCGTTTGTTTCGTCGCTTCTCCTTGGGGTCTTCCACCACTCGTTCCATGTCTTGGATGTTGATCCTGCGAGAGTTGCAGACTTCGATGTACACCTGTCGTGAAGACCTTAGCGCACACCCCGCGTTTCACGCTAGTTGTCGTGAAGACCTCAGCGTTCACATCGCAGCTGACACCAGTTGTCGTATCCTAGCTGTGGAGCACGGATTGATTGGGCCGAGCGGGAGCCATAGTTCCGTTGACTTCGCTGGTTGAAGGAAGACTTGCTGAAGATTTAGCTTAAAACAAACTGTTTATTATACAAATGCTACTGTACAAACTTGAGAAACAGGTAAGTGCCTTAGGCCAATGGCGGCGGCCGAGTCTCTAAACAGCACAGAGTCCCCAACTCTTAGTGACTGGTTAGAAAGCTGTCGTCAGCTAATTTCCTTGGGTTTATATATGTTCCTTAGGGGTCGTTCTCTAGGAATCTCCTGTTGAACTTTCCCCTCCTGACGACACATCTCAACTCGATATGTATATGGACATGGTCTTACAGTATCATGGCCCTGTTTCGGGGACTTTACCCAGAGGGTGGTAAAATGTTCAAGTTGGTCACGTACTGTTTGAAATGGTTGCCCGAGGGCTAATAAACTAAATAAATTTGGAAGCTATTTGTTGTTATGGGACCGGGATGGGTGTGATGCAGGAGGATGCCCCTCCCCAACCCACAATACATATATATATATCAACATAAATTTATTGACTAAAGTAAACAAATAAATGTAATAATTGAAATAAACTGAAATAAGTAAAACAAAACAAGTTAATTAAGTTATTGCTTCCCTGCAATCACTTCCCCTCTATCTGAGGTTACTAGCCAGGCTGTGACAAACAGGTCTCTACTTACATAGCGTAGCAATGCTGTAGAAAACAATCATGGTAGCGTGTAGTTCTGGTAGAGATCTGTAGTCACTGCAGCTTGACGCCTGCCACCTTAGGATAGCGGTTTCCCCCTGGAGGATGGACCTTCGGCTAGCTTAAACTGTAACTCTGTCTATACTGAAGAAGAAGTGCTTCTACTTCCTGTGTGCTACTTTATATATTCTTACATTCTCTGAATCATATTGTAACAACTTTTACAATTGGACCTCTCCGTTCTAAACTAGCAAGTGATGCATGGTGCTGAATACTCGATACAGGCTATGTGATTTATTTCCTTATGACAAGTGTTCTGACTTTCGCCCTCGGTAAAGTTACTCCTCTTGGCGACATCCTTTGTCAGCCCTCCCGTGTAGGAAGTCTATATGGTCTGGCTTCCTAGTGTTACTCGCTCTGGGTTTTCTGGGACCACATCCTATATCCTGTAGCTAAGCCTTTCTTCATATGTGAGTAATAAAATGATTAAATTGATAATACATAGGTATACATATTCGTTCAATTCTTATCTCTTCCAGTGAAATCAATAATACATCAATCAGTTGGTATATATATAGATATGTAGATAGGGTGAGGTCACGAGGTCACCTCATAACAGTGTAAATATCTCTGTTTACAGGTCAAGCTACCGTATTTTCCTTTGTGTACAATCTCTGCCATAAGTTTTGACTTTCATATTCATAGTTTTGTCTTAATTTACTAATTATAACCTCCATATACAACAAGGGAAGAAGTAACGGTACCAACAGTAACGTTAAATTTTACTTCAACCATGGGCTTCAAGAGCCAGAGATATACATTGCAAATATCCCAGGTGTGAGGAACATGATAAGGTAAAGTTTAATGAAAATAAACTATCCCGCGGACCCCCAGGGGTCCGCGTACCACAGGTTGGGAAACACTGCGGTAGAGTATCTGGGACATAGTGACCAAGGAAGGCGTCAAACCAGACCCCCGGAAGATACAGGCTGTTAGAAATTATCCAACCCCTCGTACAGTTAAGGAGGTTCGGGCTTTTATAGGACTAGCTGGGTACTATAGGCGTCATGTTCGCAATTTTGCAGAAATTGCTAAACCCTTGACGAATTTAACTAGGAAAGATAGTCCATTTAAATGGGGACTTGAGCAACAGGAAGCTTTTGATGAGTTAAAAGATAAATTGAGTCGGGAACCCTTGTTGATTTACCCAATTTTTTCGCAGCCCTTTATTGTGGCTTGCAATGCATCAACCAAAGCGGTTGCAGCCATCTTGTCACAGGTTAAAGACGGAGAGGAGCGGCCAGTAGCATACTGTAGCCGACAGCTGAACTCCGCGGAATCCAAGTGCAGCATAACTGAGTTAAGAGTTGCTAGCGTTGATTTTTGCAGTTAAACAATTCAGATGTTATTTGTATGGGCGACAGTTTAAAGTATATACGGACCATAGAGCTTTGCAATGATTATTGAATTTACAGGATCCGAGTTCCAGTTTGACCCGCTGGGCAGTGAAATTATCTGAATATGATTTTGTAGTGGAACACCGATCAAATTCGAAAATGAGGCACGGTGTGTACAAGTAGTAATGGGAGGACTATTCATTGACAAAAGAGAAAATAAAGGAAGCACAGGAAAATGATTTATTATAGGAGGAATATAAGGTATCTGAGAAATTCTGGTTAGATGAGGACCAGGTGTTGTATTATGAGGGACAGGAAGGATGTCCACTTGTAATTCCAAGGGAACTACATAGTTGCAACCGTACTAAAATGTTATCATGAATTGCCATTTGCCGCACATCAAGGCGTTGCAAGGACCATTGCCGCTATTAGACGAAAATATTGGTGGGAATCTTTAAGTAAAGATGTTACAGAATATATAAATGCTCGTGAAGCATATGCAAAGAGGAAAACGGGAAATAAAATAGTCGCACCCCTGGGAGAATCCTTAGTCGCAAAGGAATTCTTGGATGTAGTATCATTGGACGTGGTAGGACCACTTCCGGTTACAAATAGTGGAAATAAGTACTTACATTTGTAGATCATTTTACGAGATTTTGTGATGCAATCCCCATACCCACACAAGAAGCGGAAGTAATAGCCAGAGAATTTGTAATGAAGATTATTACGCAATATGGGGTCCCTAAGAAACTATTAACAGATAGAGGAGGAAACCTGCAAGCTGTTGAAAATACAGAAGTTACAGACCAGTAGTTACAATGCTCAGGCAAACGGAATTTGCGAGCGGATGCACAAGTTACTAATTGATATGATTTTCACACTTTGTAAATAAGGACGCGAAGAATTGGGACAAGTTCTTACCGTCCCACCCAGTGAAGCCTCAAGCCACACCGGTTGGTCGCTACTCTTTATCTTCCTTCCTTTCTCTTGTCGTTCTCGCTGCTGCCGTCGTTGGTAGTGGAGCTTGCAGCTAGGTCTGCTTTACCTGGCTCCACCGCTTCTCCAACTCCACCACTTCTCTTCACTATGGAAAGGGGTATCAGGTCCGGGACTTGGCGTGATTTGTCAATGGGCGCCAGCAACTGTGGGTACAGCTGCGAAGTGAAGAGAAAATGTGGACGGGGTGGGAGCTGATGGTGATTGGGCTAGTCGTGGGTGGCGTGAGACTCTGGCTCAGGTCGTTTAGGGCCTTACTCCGACGAGGAGAAGAACATACTGGACACAAACACTTGGCACCACTTAACTTTATTGATTTTTAATCTGAGCGCCACTGAGATAGAACTCAGGTCGTTACTTTACTATGATCTCCACCCGTTGTTCAAACACTACTTTCACTTAACAAACGATGGAGAGGGCTAGTTCCGCGTCCGGCGAGTTTAACTGTTCTTACGAAACTTTTGAAAAAGAACTCACCATCTGTTTTTGCAGATTCAGAGGTACTGCCAAAATTTGAGGAACGCCTCGTTGCCATCCTCCAAATCTCCTGGTTGACTGGATTTAGAGGGGGAAGGGGTTCGATAGAGTTTCTCGTTCCTCCAATGGTCAGCTGTTTCGCGGCGAAAGTTGGGGTTCACACGCTGTCACAGTCTTTCTGATCCGGGGTGGATTGAGAGGGTTCAATCTCACGGTCTCCTAAGGGTAGGTCCGTGACGAATCGGGTGTTGAAAATTGGTCCCGTTCCTCTACTAATGAAACAATTCGCCGCTCCTTTCTAAAAGCAGGTTTTAACATTTGGAGAGTTATGACCGTTAGAGGGCCACCTCTCTACGTGACAATAGTTCTTTCCAACGTCTTTTGGACAGATTTCTCTTTTATTAGAACGTATGGCTCTTTCTAAAAGTAGGGAGAGTGTCGGGCTGGTTTGGGTTTAGTCCGGGGATTATGACCCGTCATAAACTTTACCATCTCGGAACTGCGAAAGGGTTCAGGTCCCTCTGGTTGGAGTGGGGTGTGAGGTATTACCTCTGCTTTGATGTAGTGACAAGTACGGACACACGTGAACAAAACATTGTAGTCCTTTGCATTGTAGGGTTACAAAGTATGTCCCCTACGCAGTAATGGCGTATAGAGCCACTCCACATTGTACAGTGAAATATTCCCCTTACTACCTGGTATATGGTAGGGATTTGAGACTTCCAATAGAGGACGATTGGAAGCCGACACTGCGGGAAGAAGCCGGAAATAAAGACGATTACGATAGACATGTTAAGGAATTAGCCCTAAGGATACACGAAGCGAATCAGGAGGCTGGGAAACAGTCCAAATTGAGTCATGAACTTGCTAAGAAGTACTACGATAGGAAAACTCGTGAAAATTTATTAAAGAAGGGACATTTTGTGTATCTACATAACCCTATAACAAAGGGGGAAAGCTAAGAAATTTGAATATAAGTATCAGGGTCCTTATAGGATATTAGAGAAAATATAACCACCGATTTACAAGTTAAAAATAGAGGAAGACAAATCCATTACATTGCACGTAAACAGGTTAAAACGAGCCAGCACAGGCTCGGAAATGAATAGAAATATGGTAGACAGGAAGAAGTGTAATCAGAATAAGAAGAACCAATTGATGTATCGAAATAAATCGCGAGTAAGCGAGGCAATAGAGAAATCCCGAGAGGATAAAGTAGAAATACCTCCGACTCAAGTAAGAGAAAGAGATGAACCTGAAAATAGGGAGACAGACGAAGAGTCGCCAGAAGTAAGTCCAACCATAGAGGATCAGCAGCACCCCGAATGGACGCCAGAGACACGTTACCTACGACGGAAAATAGTTGATGAGAATAATAGGACTTTTGGAAGTACTAGCGATAGTCCATATGTGTTGCGGTCAAAATGAAGTCGAACTCAGTTCCCGGAACATAGTGTTGTGCCCCAAGGGGTTAGGGTAGCTCTGACCCCTCGATGGCTCGTGGATAGCTCGTACCGGGTTTGGGAGACACCAGGTAAAATAAACACTGGTATATAACACATAGAGGATGTATTCTTTCAACTCTCTCTCTCTCTCTCTGATACCTAACCTATAACATGAAAACAACTCTATTTAAAACTACAAGTACAGGATATATTCACTCCTTGGCCTATCGCCTCATCATCATGAAGTCCTATTCAAAATCAGTCCTTCAGTTTCACAGTTCTGAGTGTGTTAGTTTACCACTGACAGTGACCCGAAACGAGGCAAGTACTCACTTGAACAGAATAGTAGACACAGAATGGCGATTCTTGCTGGTCCCTTCATTGTTGGCACTGTCACAGAGTTTGGTAGCAACGACTACGCCCAAAAAGCCCTCTCCAGCACTCGCGTCTAGGGTTTTTGTAAGTCTCTATGCGACGCGCGAGTACTACCCACGCGCGGAACCACCCTAGAATAGTCTTTTCCCATTGGCGGTCGTCTCTTGCTGCT